GGGACATCTATTTTGGAACGGAGGGAGTACCTCCTATTTACCATCAGACAAGGATGGACGGCCGGGCAGAACAGACACGAACAAAGTCTTAAGATTTTCCAACCGTGTCCGTGGATTCCACCTCATCATTCTTCCTGTTGGCATTGACTCGGTCCATTACTGAGATAATTCAAGAACAGTGAATTGCAGAATACATACAGGAATGGTCCTATTAGCAATTCAACAGAGGGTGTGCCGGCTGAATTCGGAGGCCTTGGTCTCTGGACATGAACTGAACGGATGCAGGAGTTCCCTGTTTGCTGAGGGAGGCTGCCAGTTTGATCACTCCAGAGGTGTCGTTTTTGTCAGCCAGCCTGAGTACTCCCTGTGCAAGATTTATGTATGTGACCGTGCTAAGGTGAGAAAGACAAGCAGCAAAGCTGTGTCAAACAGCGACTCCAGTCGACGACTCAATGTCAGATTTGGCATCATTGGAAAAATATATATATACTGGCATATGGCAGTCTGCTGAACAATTTGGTCCTATGAAACAAAAGCAGCTCAATGAAACGATATTGCCATCATCACCAATGAAGAAGGGATCAAGACAACAAGATGTTAAGAGTTCATGTCAAATGTAACAAGGTAAAAGAAAACAGGAGGTATCAATCCTGTCAAATGACATAAATCATTTGTCGGTGCGTTGTACAATCGTTGATAAAAGTCAGCAACAGGCTGTAGCCTTAATAACCAGATAAAGAGTTCACCACTACACAATGTCAAAAGACGTCTTATATTATGGGACAGAGGGAGTATAATTCAACAAAAATGTATGCTGATTGGCAACATGATTACTCTAAATAGCGAAATAGATTTTCTCAGGCAAACTTATTTATATCGACTTTGCAATAGAGTATGGCATGGCTGACTACATATGGCCGGAAAATGCTGGCAACAAAACAAACGAAGTTGGATGTGGATTGTCATTGCCCGTGTAGAGATGGTTGCGAACTGGGGAACATAGCTTGACAGCGATTAGTCTCAGAACAAGTTGTACAAAAATTGCACGATGAGTGAGCAGTATCAGTTATTTTAATTATCTATTTATTTTCAAAAATTATGCAAACTCCTTCTGTTTCAAAATATAAGACATGTTTTGATTTATTAACGACCAATACTTACTTTTTTAATATATGTGGTTTATGTAACATATTTTTATATCATTAGATTTGTATTCAACAATACTCAAATATGATTGTGATTTGTATCACAAAAGAACACATAGGAGCCAATATAAGAATGTTGATCAAAGGTTTTTCTTAACAAATCAAAACACACCTACATTTTGAGAAGGATGGAGTAGTTGCTTGTGTTTTGCTCTTCCATCTGATATGCACAAAAAATGCTGGGTACAAAAGGTTACATACATGCTATATTTTTCTGGTCAACTGTATTTCGCCATATCCCCTTACTCCACAGTTAGGCCGCGCTTGGGGTCGATGTAATTTTATACGGAGGTGATTAACTTACAGGTGTATCTCACCGGCCACTGAGAAATTCCCGGCCAGAAACAAAACGACGGGTCGAGACCTGTATTATTTACAGGGGTATTCAAAAGGAAAAAGATAATCCAAATAGGGCCTTAGGTGTAGATGGTAATAAATCCTCCATGAATGGAGTATATAGAAGGGCCCTGAAGTACTGGTAAATATGCATTTGTTTTCCAACTAAGGGAGAGTACTTATCATAGGAGAAAAGCAACAAAGTGGCTACCTATCAGTCCATCACATCCTCAGGGAGGGGGGGCTTTCACCAGGTTCACACGTTATCCAGTCCCCATGACAAGCAACACATACAGGTTCAGGTGTACAAGCCACTCAAAACCTTTGAATCAGTTGCTTTCACGAGTGCGATAGAGCTATTCCAGTACCAAGATAACAAATTGCACCTCGGGCACAAGCCACTCAAAGCTGACATGAGCAGCATGACGAAATAACACGGTTTAAAGGGCATCATCATCATTGGAAGAAAAACTCGAGATAGCCAGTTAAGAGTCACCGAGGAGCGTAAACTCAGATGTCTGCGACAAATCTGGAGGTGATAAACGCCATGTGAGCCTCCTCAGTGATCATGTGAATGTAATTCTGAACTGATGCGACAACAGCTGTGAGTTTGACAGCGAATAGGCACGGGGCAGGTCGGAGGGAAGCTTGAAATGAAGCAAAAACAATCATACGCAGTCCAGCTCATACCTGGGACACCTTTGATTCTGCCTGCCCCTGTGTCCCACAGTCTCCAGACTAGTTCCACAAGCAATTCTCAACCAAGAGATAATCCCGGGTACTGCATGCATGCGCATGCAAGTTCAAACATCCAATGCACCAGGCCAACACCAGTAATGCTCTCTTTGCCTGGAGAGTCCGGAGGGCCTGAAAGCAGAAAAAGATGGATTTTTTTTTCCTTTCTCCACGTCTGATAAGCACATTGGATACTTGAGATACTGATAGAAGAGCAGCTAGAAATCATTTAGCGCACGGTGCGGCATCTTTCTACAGACAGCCCAACAGAAAGAAATGTGTATGTACTGAATCGACCCGAGGTGCCTCAGAAAGCAGCCTTTGTTAGGAACTGAATAATGACACCTCAAATCTCCACTGCTTCGCCTTGTAAACCAAAACAGCATTAGATCACATGCCGACACAGCAGATAATTTAGCACTCAATCAATAGTCAAGGAAAAAATTAACGAGATCTGGTTCAAGATTTCCACAAGGCTCTGCAGATAAATATTTTTCCACACAAAAAATCTTGGATGAAAGCTAATGCTATGTTTGACAAGGAAAGCTAATACTCGTGAACTGGTCTGAGAGAACATGTTGCCGTGGGAAGAATGCACTCAAACATTGGTTTTTAACATTTGAATTTATCTCACAAATCATAAGTGAAGAAGTAAATTGGTCATAAAATGAAAATACTTTAACAATCTCACAATTTTTATACCATGAACATATATTGTCGCAAAAAATCTTCATGAAATTAGGCCGCCTGTAGAACTAGCAAAAACTGGTACCAAAGACTGCCCCTGCCCAGTTAGTGTAAAATACCATTTTAGCAACAGGAATAAAAATTGCATTTAACTTAGTGCTGAGCCAAAAATCAAACCTCCACTACAAATGCTCTCCAAGGACCCAAGAAAACAGGTGGCAGAACGCTTCAGTGCTTCCAGAGAAAGAACTACGACTTATATCAGTGGTCTACTATGTCATACAAATGAAAACTGAATTAATTAGTAGATAAATATTTAAACATAACATCATTGAACTGTTCTTTTAGACTATTTCAACGATCGGTTGCACCAGCAAACCAGCCGCTTGACCAATCACTTGCCCAACGGTTTCAAATAATTATGATACAACTCATGGTCAAAATTATACTTGGGCGGCAGTGAGCAATGCCAAGTCAAAAAACATAATATAAGAGCATCTACAACCGGACTCCCCATACCCGCCCCAAACGCGTGGACGGGCTGTCCGGTTAGTGCCCGGACGGAAAAACGCCACCCAAACGCCCGAACTTACCGGCACTCCCCATATCCGGACCAAATATGGGGCGGATATCGGGACGCCCGGACGCGCCTGCCACGTCGGACTGACCACTAGGGCCCACCCAATTCGCTCATATCCTCCTCCCCTCTCCTTGCCCGAGAAGCCCTCTCCTCTTCTCTGTTCGCCCTCCTCCGCACAGCCGCACCGGACTTCCGCCGCTATCGATGCTCCGCCGCCATCCTCAACTTAGGGCTTCGCCACCGGACGCCCCAACGCACACCGCCGCCGACCAGGCCGCCACCGAGCGCCGCCCCGGTACGTCAAAACACCACCATACTTTCACCCCACGCTCTACGTGTTCGATGAAATGTCCGAGCCGGTTTTTTGTTCTTTCGGTCATTACTTCTAGGTCACCAATGGAATCGTCGTGGAATGATGGCGATGGAAACGATGATCTAGATGAATTCATATTCAACGAGTTCATCGCATCATCGGATTCGGAGGATGAGGATGTCGAAATGATGATGATGATGATGAGCATCCACAGCTGCGAGATCAACAAGTGCATATGCAACTTCTGGGTGATCTTGTCGAGCAAATGTGGACGCACACTGGAAATCAGTAAACTTAGTCTTTTGTTTTATCAGTTATGCACTATGAACAATATTTATGTTTGAACTATATTTGAATTATGTACTATTAATTATGAACTATTTGTATTTGTGTGCACTAAGCTATGTTTGTCCAAAATGATCGACGTGCATGTGTTTGCGTGGATTTGGTGTTTTGAAAATAGGGACCGTGGTTGCAAATGCCAAGTTTAGATGCTTGTCCGGTCACTGTCCGCGGGCGTATAGGGGCTCGGATTAGCTATCCGTGGTTGTAGATGCTCTAATAATATTACCAGAGATGTAAAATTCATCACTAAATTAGTGGAATCAAGTATCAAGATTCAACAAGATGAACTAAAAATTACGAACACCTCAACTATGACAAGGTAACATTTAAAAATCCGCACACTCATTAAACTCGGAGCAACTTCCAAAGTGTGGTTAAAATGAATCATATGTGAGAGATGACTCATCAAAGCACCGATTCAGGAAGGCATTTATCATACCAGTAAGCTTAGATCTAATGCTACAAATGATTGGCCAAATGGAAGTACCATATGCAGAGTGAGTTGACTGGATAATAACAAATCTTCATGTACCCACGGTGGCACTTAGCCTAATTCTGCAAAATAAGCTTGTGAACTTTCTTGGTAACCAAAAACTATACGCATGACTGCAATATTATATTTATGTTGATCTACCAAAAATAGCAGGTGCAATATGCAATTACAAAATGGAAACTCAGCCAAAAGTACCAAAACAAGCCGCACACTCATGGCATGAACTCATACTGCAGAGGTAAAAAGAACTAGTACTATGTGTAGTCTACAGGTATCAAAGGCATAGTAGTGTATTCATACTTTCCTCTAACTGCCAGCACCAAATAAGAATTCTTGCAAAATTCTTGAAGCCTCTGAAACTTCGTGCTGAGTGCTGAGTGATCCAAGCACTGTAGTAGAGCCAGTAGGCAAACTAGTTCCCTTTGGGTCTGAACTTGGATGTGAACTAGCTTCTTTTGATGAGTTCTTCTCATCGAGCAGTGGAGCTGATCTCTGTTTATTTGGACTGACATTTTTATCCCCTTCTTCAGCCTGCGGTCCACCAAAATTCTGATGTTTACTGCCATTTGTATACATATGCTTCTCGATGGTTAGAGCATCCTGATGCAACATGCTAGAATTTGATCTGTCTTTACTGGAAGGACGAAACTGTACACCCTTTGGTGTACTGGTTGATGCTTTTAGAGCATTTACTGAGATGCCGGCAAGGTTTTTAAGGATGGAGTAATGTTTGGTAGGAGCAGAAGTTACACGTTCGCCATCATGGACCGTTGATGCTTTCTGACTACTTGTTTGCTCTCTGCCAGGTTTTTCAGACACCAATGACGCATCAGATTTCTTTGCATCTGGTTTGGAAGGACCATCTGCAGTTGGCACCTGATAAACAACGCAGTTTTCTCAATTCACAGGGTGGAACTAACATTTTACCAGGCTATTTCACTTCTAAATAAACAATAGGGAATGATTTTGCAAATCACGTACCACATGAGAAAATTTGCATTTATCACCTCTGAAACACATTCCATTTTCCACAAAGTTGTGGCAAGGGTACTTTGACAACTCATGATCATAGGGACAATCATCTCCTTTCAAACAAGAACCGCGCGCAAAATGTGTGCAGGGCTGTAGAATTAAGAAAAGAAATAAGCGGACACCAAAACATGTCATACATCAAAACAAACAGAAAGGAATGCAAGAAAATGTAAAGAAATGAAGTTAGCTGCCACTTGGATTAAGATATATTGGTGTACACATAATGTATTTCAAATCATGTGAACAACTCAACAGTTAACACCCACCATTTCGTGCATGCCTGTCCAAACCATCTATTTCAAGCACCATCGATAGTTCTTGAAAGATGGTTTATATAGGTATGCACAAAATCTGCAGGTGGAACAAATGGATGCAGCCATACATACATGGACATGCACTAACATCACACTAATGCATAATGAATACTGCAGGCAGACATAAAAACTTCTATAAAGCACATACCTTAGATTTTGTCAAAGGTGTAGTATCATGTGAGAACTTGCAAGCATTGCCCTGCAAAGAGAAAAGAAGAGAATTAGGTTTGTAAAATAACTATTGACAACAAATTCATTATCCAGTGTTTGTACAGAAACTTTGTTGATTTATCAAAATAAAATGTCTACTGATAAAACGGATGGCTTTGCAAGAAGCAATTCAACGTACATTACATCATTCAATATGATACGGCTCCTCGCAATGCTATACAAACAAAACAAGAAATGTTCCTAGAAACCAGGACTTTTGTGATCATTACTCCATCACCTTTCGAGGCAAAAACCTCTATGTGGTTCACAGAAAAAACACATAAATTATTGGCCTAAAAAGATAGAAATGTAATTGAGAATCAGCAATACATGACTATCTGTTCCAAGTGAACAATAAGTTGGTGGCCAGAGAAAAGCTTACCTGCTGGCACTTCCCATGCATGTAGAAGTGGCATAACTTCACTGGTTTCGGCTTTATAACTGGTGCAAGTTTCAGTCTTTTCACACCATCCGCTATCCGCTGCTGTGCTCTCTTAACCCGTTTGTTTTTCTATATGTCAAAAACATCGCGAAGGAAGATTAATACTCCAGAAGGAAAAATACAATTAGAATGCACAGTTGAATAAAGTATGTGTTGAACTCAAATGGTAGTGAAACCAGAACACACCGTCTTCTTAGCCTTTCTTTCCTCTGTCAAATGCCGTTTTCTCTTCCCTAGTTTGGGAGCCTGCAAAGTTTGTCATGGGGCATATTTAATGTCAGTGCTTCTTTTTTTACCGCAATGTCAGTACTTCTGTTGTCAAGAAGAGAATAACTTATTGGATATTGGTGAGTTTTGTACCCTTCTAAAAGTGCATGTGATGGAATTTAAGCAAGAAATCAATAACGTGTTAAAAAAAGGTTCTGAATCAGTTATGCGGTATCACATGATAACTTGCATCTCACAAGCTATATTTTCATCCAAACACAAAATTAAACAAGAAGAAGCAACATGTGAAAAAACATCTAATAACCAATACCGGTTAATAAAAAATGGTATATTCAGTACCTCAGCATCAGGCAGCGGTGTCTCATTCCATTCCACAATTTCATCATAACTGACTGCCTGCGCCCTGGTGACATGCTTTAGTGCATCATCCTTGATATAACCTTCCTTGTTCAGTACAAGATCACTGGTTCCTTTAGTTTTAGGCGTTGAAAGCAAATTCAGACACGGTATGTCCTGGCCAGATGATTCATTCTCCCCCAACACTCTGTTAGTAAAATCCTCTTCCAATTCCTCATCATCTGCATCTTCGAGCTCCGAATCATCAGATTCATCTACATCCAGAGCCTGCATGTCACCCTCAATCTCTCCTTCCTCAACCACGCCACCATCAACTGAGTGCTGATCTAAACCACCCACAGGTCTGTCTTCTTCAGTTCCAGCTCCCAATTCTTTCACCCCCTCAGCTATGTTGCCATCATTGTGTGGTTCACCTCCAGAAACCCCATAGTTCAGCATTGACGTTGTACCGCCACTGGCATCAGCAATCAACCCTGAGAAGTTGGTCATCATCGTATCAAGCAGCAGATGTTCATCATCATTGACCACCACTACATCTGGCTCTGCCAATTCGTCAACCTCCCCCTCCAAACAATCCTTCATCGACCTCAAAACATCCTCTGCCCCCAACTCCTCCACGAACGCAACAGTCTCACGGCAGACGTTTCCCCCAACAACCATATCTGTTACGCCCTCCACCCGCTGAACCCCGGCCACTTGATTCTCCATGTATCTCTGTGGTGCCACAGCCGGGTCTGCAATAGGGTTACCGGTGGCTGCATCGACTGCCGCGGGTGAGGGGTTCTCGATGACAGAAGTCCTTACCGCAGTCTCCTCTTCTCCTAAGTCCTTTCCCCGTCCAGGCGGTACCGAGCACCCCTGTGGCGACTCGTCGCATATAGGGTTCGCAGCGGCGGGCTCGACTTCAAGGGGCGCCGGGGCAGCGAGCTGCGAGGGGCGGTGGTGGAGGCAGTGGGAGAAGAGCCGGGAGAGCGTGCGGTAGGAGGCGCTGTCGAGATGTGATCGCCGGCGAGTGAGGAAAAGGGTGGTTGGGGCAGGAGGCACAGGCGGCACAAGGGAATCCTCCATGGCGAGGGATTAGGCTGCCTTAGAATTAGGGTCTACGGGTGGGAGTTGGCTGGGTTGGAGTTAGGATATCGAGCAGTGGTCAGCCTCGCCGTGCGAGCTCGGCGGCGCCGACGGAACTGTCCGATGAGGAGAGGAAACCCCATTGTCGTCCAAAGCAGAGGCGGCAAATAAGAGAGTTTGGGCCAGAGTGTAATACCGTTAGCTATAGGTACTTCGGCCTTTAACGATGCCAAATTGGCCCATAAATTAGGGTGAACAGGCTAAAATATAGTTTGATGCTGGTGACATGGTGTATCAAGATCCAGAGAAGCCGCAGCTGCTCTTTGCCGCGACCATCACGGGAATAATCTGGGAAGCTCTTCTCTGGTCATATTCGGATTGCACGACGCCACCGTCTTAGTCAATTGCTTGTAGGGCTGTAAGAAAAGTTCGAGGCTTGTGAGCCGCTCAAGGCAGACTCATCTTTTGGTTTTATTAGAGATCGACTCGAAAAGAAACGAGCTGAGTTTAAACACTTCGCATAGGTCAACTAAGAAACGAGTTGATCTTGAGCCAATACTGGCTCGTTCGATTTTACCTCGATAACTCAACATAATATCATTATGTTAAATGATCATGCCATATATTAAATAAAAATAAGATAATTTGTTACCATATATGTTGTCCATGATTTTCTTCATTATATTTACCAACAAACATGGAAGCTTGAAGATTTAGGCCTAATTATGATACGTGGTCGACAATGTGTTAAATATCCTTTTTCTTTTCAAAAGTTCTTAGCATATGCACCTTCCTTTTTTTGTTTTTCGTCCACGAAAATCACCATCTATTGCTAGTTTTCCCAAGAGAGCAAGATGAGCTCTCCTAAGCACGACGGTGATGTCGTAAATCTCAAGATGATATGTCGGCTCAGTCTTTCGGAGGTGCTCATAGGGGTAGGGTGTGCGTGTGTGCGTTCATAGAGGTAAGTGTATGCGCGTGTATATGAGCGTTTGTGTCTGTGCTGATGTTAAAACACACACACAAAAAAAAAGCATGATGAGATGGCGTACAAAGTTGTGTCATGTTGTGTCCTTATCTATTTGGAATAATCATCATAAATTTATAATTTTTACCATCTCATTTAGCTCGGAACTCCTCTAGATCGACTCGAAAACGTTACAAGCTGAGTATGAGTCATGTTCTAAAGCTCGATCTTGAGCTTCACTCAGTTTTAGCTCGCTCAAATTTTAATATGAGTTCAGTTGGGCCAACTCCAACTCATTCAAACTAGACTCGTTTGCAGCCCTAATTGCTTGTCGTGAAGCATTGGCGTTGGCCGAAGACCCAGGTCTACAAAGTTTCGTTATAGCGTCAGATGCTAAACAGGTGGTCAGTGATGGTGAATGGTAACCGAGGCCGGGAAGAAGGGAAGGTCGAATAGGATGAGGTATATTTTGACAATGTAGCCACACTGGATCAATTTGGCATTAAAAATCGTTTCTCCTCATTAACTCATGGGAAATGATTCATTCACCCGGATAAACCTGGGAATGGTTTGGATCAAAACTTAGTTTTTGGTTTGGTTTTTGATTTGGTCTCACTAATTTGGTCTATACTGGATTTAGATAGACAAACAATTCGGCTCGGTTTGGGTTGTGGCTAATAACGGACTGGATAGGTTTGGGTTGGGTGCAGACTTATGGGTTGAAAACTACTGCAAACTATGGTTTCAGACCGGATTGATGGATTAGTCTCAAGTGAAGGTCCAAATGCCACTGCCTTCCCAGCATGTTCAGTCGCTTCTTGTCAATCTATCCATCGTCCAGCCCAAGCTTCATCCACGTGCGTACTCGTGCCATGGACGCCTCTGACTTGGGAGAAAATTATCTTGACTTGGACCTGCTGCACCTCCATGACCACGCCGATGACAAGGGTAACATCCATGATCACGCCGACGCCGGCGTAGAACCTAGGATGTTGGGAGCGGTGGCGACCGACACGGTGACGCCATGACCGACACGGTGGCGACCGGCGTGCGTGTGCGCTAGGAGCGGTCCGTGCAGGCCACTGGCGCGTGTGTGCGTTTGTCCGTGCGTGCGTGCGCCAGGAGCGATCCGTGCAGGGCACGGGCGCGTGTGTGTGTGTGTCGAGAGCGTGGTGTGGGCATCAGGCGCGCGAGCCGGCCGCGTCGAGTGCGTGCATGCGCTTCGGGCACGCGAGCCGTGCGCTTCGGGCACGCGAGCCGTGGAGCGTGGGACGTGCCGAGTGTGCGAGTGGGGTGCGTCGAGAGCGCGGCGTGGCGCATGAGTGCACGCACGTATAAGTCCCCCTCCCTCCCGTGTATTGTACCAAGTGGATCGAGTTCGTGCACGAGGAGAAAAACAGAAAAACAATCGGTGTGGCAAGGTGTTTGTCCGTGACCAAATTCTTTGTGTCCATTCCCCCGCCGTGTCTTGTTGTCTCCGGTGATCGCCGGTGCGCTATGAGTCCCTTTTTACGCTGTGAGTGCGTTTTAGCTAACATAGGAGACGCAGCGACCAACACGCCCTGAGTAAACGATCATGACCTAAACGGCAACTGCCTTCTTCAAGTTTGTTTGTATCCAAGTTCCAACACCCGAGCAGCAGATACTCACTAGTCAATTACACGGCTGTTGTGCTTTGTCCATGGTTTGAGTTTGTGGGTTTAATCCAAAACTTGGAAACAGTTAGAGCTGGATTGGGTGGAAAATACGTACAGTTTGGTTTGGTGTAGATTCTAGCTATAAGTTTTTGGTTTGGATTGGTTTGGAAGATTTTGTCCGTGCTTCCCACAGAAAACATGTGGCTGTGACCCATGCAAGCCACAGTCTATACTTATCCACAAATAATGGTTTTTGTAACAAAGCTTTTAATCGTTTCTCCTCATTAACTCATGGGAAATGATTCCCTTCACCCGGCCAATCGTAAAGATTTTGTCCGCACTTCCCAGGAAAGACACGTGGTTGTGACCCATGCAAGTCCTAGTCTATACTTATCCACACATAATGGTTTTTGTAACAAAGCTTCGATTGTGAAGAAGGTTATCTATGGCAACAATGGTGGCAGTGCAACTTCCGTGATATATTTCATTGCAAAAAAAAAATCCCGCGGCATCACCCATGTTGCAAAAGTCCTTCTGCAACATCATCTTTGCTGCAAAAAGGTGAAGATGAACAAAAGAACTCTAGCACAACCTTTATTGCAAATATTTCTGTAACATGAGCTCTATTGCAAAGGGTTCTACAACACTACTTTGTTGCAAATGTGAGGACAAGACGATGGCCGCTAGATGTCACCAAATCTAACGGTTGTCGAGGCGATGGATCTTTCAAAAAGATCCACCGGCCAACACCTAGCACGCCCCTTAACTCATTGACACATAAGTAAATTTGCTTATCCGAACCCTAAGTTACTACCGTTTCATCAAGACAAGGCTTTGAACAACAATTACTCTTTTAATATGTCACACCCTAGCTAGTCATGCATTAGAGTGTTGCATCATGTTTACTCTTTCATCAGAAACTTGAAATGGGGATGACAGAACCCCCAGTCCCCTCTGAAACCAACTAGGGTTACTAAAATAATTTTTCAATGAACCTGAAATGCCCTTCTAAAATGCCCATCATTTTTGTCTTGGTTCAGAACCTCTGCCAAAAGTGGTGCACATTTTCCTAGGCCATCCTAGGGTTTTTGAATTAAATCATAAATATTTGAATTTGGGCATTTAAAATAATATAAAATATTTAAATGCTCAAATATCTCCAAACTAAAATGTTTCATGTTGAAAATAATCCAACTATGGACCAGGACTAGTTTGGTGATTTTTGAAGTTGCCTAGGTATTTTATTTAATTCAACAAAGTTGCAGATATATTAAATAAAATTAGAAAACAGAAAAAAACTAAAAGGGAGAAGCTTACCTGGGCTCCTCCCTGTGCAGCCCAGCCAGCTGGCCGGCCCAGCCAGCAGCCGGCCCAGCCCACCTCCCTCCTCTGTCGTCTTCGTCCCGACAGAGGGAGGGGAGTGTGGCCGGCGCGCGCGCACGGCCACCGCGCCACGCCACCTCTCTCCCTGCCTGCCTGCCCTCCCCTCCTCGCCTCGGTGCCCCTGGACGACGCCACGCCTCTCCCCTGCTCTCTCTCACTCTCCCCCGGCTCTCCCCTCCTCTCCCTCGCTCTCTCTCTCGCCCGGCCGAACACCACCGTCGCCGCCGTTCGCCATAGCCACCGTCTCCGACCACCCCTCGCTCCCCCGACTAGCTCAGGAGCTCCGCCTCGACTCCCTCTTCCTCCCCACTGCTTCACAGCTCCCCGGAAGCCCTGCATCGCCGCCACGTCGCCGTTCCCCTCTTCGGGCTCCGACCACCGTCGCCGTCGAATTCGCCGTCTCCAGCGCGTCCCCGAGCCCGCTTCGACGCCCACTGCAACCGCGGTGAGCTACGCCACCGTTTCCCCCTCTTCTCCCCCTCGTTCCCTCACCGTAGCCTCCTCCCCACCACGGCCGAACCTCCGCCGTCGCCGAGCTCGCCGTCGACGCAGCTCCGGTGACCATTTGGTCACCCCGGCGAGTCCAACGAGTTCACAAAACCCCGTAGAGCATCCCTAGCGCCTCGCTTTGCTCGACTTCGAGCTCCAGCACCGTTCCCGTGCACGACCGAACCCCGGCGGCCGCAGCCGAGCTCGCCGCCGTCGACTCCGGCCACCCCGACCCCAACGGGCTCCGCCAAGAGCTACGGGTTGCCCTCAGCTCCACTCCGGTGGTCTCCGCGGTCCGTTTGGTGGCCGAAATGACCAAAACCACTTCCGCCGCCGCGTCGGGCTCGCCGGCGACTAAACGCCGGCAGCCGACATTGACCTTGACCACGGGTGGGCCCTGGTTGACTCCCCTGAGTCAATGACAGGTGGGGCCCAGCCCTGTTAACTAAACAGGATTAGTTTTAATTAAATTTTAATTAAAATAATCACCCTGACATGCGGGACCCACTGTCAGGTTTGACCCA